ATATATATATATATATATATATATGTAGAGAGAGAGAGAGAGAACAAGGGATTGAGGAAAGGAACAAAGAGAATGAAGAAAGAAATTAGCGGATGTGAATATTCATATTAAAATGCCATAATATATCTAGAGCTTCAGTTTATTCCCACTCTAAGTGCCGCGCGCCGCGATAAAAAGTACCGTCTATGCCGCCGTTATCGTCTAGAGGGAAACACTATTAGTGTAGAGTTCTTATAATAAGAGTACGGCCAATAGAGCGTGAATGAGGCAAAAACTGGAAACGCATCGAAACGTTCGCGCATTTATAAATATAAAGTGTAAAACTAAGGTTATGTTCAAAAATTTACTGCCAGTACTGAAAATCTAGTGCACGTAACATAAACTGTATATTTTCAATACTAGTAGTAAATTTTGGAAAACAATCAAAAGTATACGAAAGTTTTAGGAAAATACTCGTAAATCTTGGAATACAAACGTATATGAAAATCTAGGGAAATATTATAGTATACGTTACGCATACTATTTTCCTAGAATTTCGTATATGTTTCTTTTCAAGAATAGAGGCCCTGAAGTATAAAACTGAAATTACATACGTGATGTGTCTCAAAGTAATGCGAATGATTTAAAAAAAAATACTTTTATAAAGATTATGCGTTTCGCGGATTTCCTCCGTGTCCAGATCTATTAGAATGTCAACGTTTTGTGAACCTTGCAGTCCATCAGGATGAGGAGCAGCCTGATACTGAGCTATAATAAGATTGGAAATAAGATTGTTTATGTTAAATACATTACTTTTAAACGAAGCGCCATTATGGTCTGAATGTTAAGATGTTGAACTATTATGTATATTTATATTATATATAATATATTATATATATTTTCATATAATAAAAATTTATTACAGTTTTTTAAGATTAAATTTGAGAAATTTGGGGGAATTATTAATATTTCAGATTGATTGCGTTGAAAGTCCGACAATCATGTCGGCACGCAATTATAATTTCTGAAATTAATTCATGTATGATAAATGAATATATATAGTTCAACATCTTAACATTCAGACTAATACTGAGCTGTTTCTCCAAATTATTCCTTTTATATCCTGCTTGTGGAGTGATGGGGGGAGTGGGGGAAGAAGAGAATTGTGGGTGGGACACGGAAAAAATCCGCGAAATGCATAATCTTTATACATAGAAAGCACCCGTGGAAACCTAAAAAATATTATGAAATATTATATATAGTTTTTAAATTAGATCTTCCTTTAACTCGTTTTTTGACCTATCTTTTTAACTTATATATCTATAGTGCCTTACTGCGATTCGAACTCTGATAATTAATGTCAAATTTGTCAATATTTAAAAAATGTATAGCAATAATTTATTTTTATATTTTTTTTTAAGAAGAGGAATATTTTATCTAATATCTTAAAGCTTAAAAAAGTCTCTATTCCTTGCGATAGCGGATTAATTGTGAATTATAAAATTGCATGTGTCAGGTTTGAAATTTAAACAAAGATAATTATATCTTAAACTCATTAGACTAACCATTAGGATTTCCCAAATGAAACTACGTTTAATCAAACATGTTTAATCAAATAAATGAATATTTATGAAATTTTACAAAACTTGTGAATTATCTTCTAAAATTTATGATTGATATTTACTAATGATTAATGATTAATGGATTTTCAATAATATTTTTGCTAATTCTGTTTTGTACTGTATAAGTACAAAAAAGGTGTATAAGCTTAAATCGGCTGTTTTTTAGTCCGAAAAACACATTTTTTTTTTCCTAGGAAGCAAAAACAAATTTATTCAAAGTACTTGCCCTCGCTAACTATACATTTTTCCCATCTTTCGGGCAATTTGTGTATACGAGGCTAAAAAAATTCCTCAGCTTTCGAGGCAAACCACTCATCAAGCCATTTTCGGACGTCTTCGTAAGAATCGAAGTTCCGCTCAGCGAGCGCCCATCGATGAAAACAGGTGATAGTCAGAAGGTGTCAGGTCTGGAGTAAGCGGGATGGGGTAGCACTTCCCAGTTGAGTGTCTCCAAGTAGTTTTGGACCATTGTTGACGTGTGCGATGATGCGTTATCGTAGAGGAAAATCAACTTGTCATGTCTTTTCCGATAATGTGGCCTTTTTTCACGCAGAGCACGGTGCAATTTGATCAGTTGTTGATGATAACGGTGGTAGCATTAACAGTTTCACCAGGTTTTAACAGCTCGTAGTAGATAACACCCTTCTGATCCCACCAAACGCACAGCATCGTCTTCCGTCCGAAACGATTTGGTCTTGAGGAAGATGTTGATGGTTGAGCGGGATCAACCCAAGATTTCTTGCGTTTAGAATTCTGAAAATAGATCCATTTTTCATCGCCTGTCACAATCCAATGTAGGAACGACTTTCTTTTTTGTTTGGCAAGCAGAATTTGGCATGTGTTTTGGCGTCGCTCCATCTGCCTATCGTTCAGTTCATGCGGCACCCATTTTCCGATCTTTTGAACCTTCCCCTGAACCTTCCCCTGAATGGCATGTAGCCGCATGAAAATGGCTGCTTGAGAAACACCCAATTGCTCGGAAAGCATTTTTGGGTATCATCCTTGTCCAAAAGACCCTGCAAGTGACAGTCCTCAACCTTCCTGGGCCGATTTTCACGCTGCTTGTCACTCAAGTCAAAATTGTCATCATTGAACGGACGAAACCAATTTCTGCACGTTGTTTCCGATAAAGCATTGTCGCCATAGGCCTCCACAAGCATTCGATGTGATTCGGCAGCCGATTTCTTCAAATTGGAACAGAAAAGCAAAGCTTCCCGCATATGCTTTTTTTTAGTAAAAAACTAGACATGATTACGAAAAAAAAAATGTATGTTGTTGTATGAAATTGCTGATGATGTATTTGCTGATGATGTAATTGCTGGTTAATGTTGACAGATGTCAAACACATAAAAAAAGTGTGTTGTGTGCCCAGGGCAGCTTTGTACGCTCTAATGCCACTTATGAGCAAACAGCGGATTTAAGCTTATACACCTGATATACATATGCTTGATTGAGAGACGTATTGGAAAAAAGTCAATACTCGCCATATGAGCTAACGAAGCGTAAATTCATAGTTCGTTCCGAACAATTTGGGTACGCAATTTATGATTTCACTGCGTTGCGCCTTGTTGCCGTAGTACATTGAAAGATATTATAATAGTTATATATATACATTATTGTCAATATTTTTTTATATTAAATGAATATTTCTCTCCGTTTTATTGACTTATTTAATAAATATTTGGCATTTATTCTAATGGATTATTTTTATTATGCAATGTAAATTTATTTTTATGTGAAGCTTACATACGATAAGATTTTTTTTCTAATGTATGAATAAATCAAGAGACTATACTTTTGATTAAGATATATAGCTTCCTATTGCTCTGTTATCGCCAAATTTCTTTTGAACTAGCAAAAATCTTTTATAAACTTTATTGAATATTTTTCGCTATTTTTACAGTGCGTACTGTTTGGTACTTTCATGATCTGGTTCGCCAGCATAACTATCAATCTGGGACCCACGTTTCTTAGTGGGGCCTTAGCGGCGAACACGGAAAGCAGTCATAACGCGCCCAGTTGTCCATTGGTACATGGACCTTTTCGCCATTACATACTCAATGCTCTCTGGATTGTCATCAACATTATTTGCATAGCGTTAACGCTCTTTCATTTACGAAAGTTGCACAGAGATTTGACGAAAGCTAATGTCGAAGCGGTAAGCGACTATATCAATAATGAATTCATAGTCAGAGTCAATACAAACGTTATACTTTAGTTCCAATTTATAAAAATATATACACAAATAATAAAAATATATAAATTTATACTTAATAAATAATTTTTATTTCTATCACTTATAACATATATTATAAAAGTAATATATAAATATTACAATACATAAAGGAAAGCCCCCTATTATGGGATAGACACCTAATATGAGATAGCGGTGTTTCTGCTAAACTTATAAATGCAATCTATTGGTTCTATCATGAATTTATTGCTCTTGGATTCAAAATTATTTAGCGGAAAATTCATTATTAGATCATGCCTGTAGTCTTGTAAAAAAAGATTTTAGAATTTGGATGTCTTCAAGTTTCATTGAGATGAGCTTTTAGATCTCTGTTTATAATAAGTAAATATTTGACAATAAATTCTTCATGTAACGATAGAATAAGAGCGAATAATAATAGAAAAATACGGGATATATTGAATTGTTTAATTACAGAACTAGATTTAAATGATCGTGAAACCGTAAGGCGTGGAAATCTTAATACGAGATATCCTGTATGTTTCTAATATGAAATAATCTGTCTGTTCCTATGTTATAACGAAAATTGTTCGTATACCTGAAGTATAAATGTTATTTTCCAATAATAAAAAGAAATAAACATCGTGCGTCTGTTTCTGCGATGTTTGGTCTGAAGACGAGTTCTGGATACAATGCATCACATGCTCATTTTGCGCGCACACTAATTATGTCTGTTTGTATTTTAGAAACATTACATAGTTCTTTTAATTGCAGTACTTTGCGTTTCATCGATTTCTCGGGACATCTCATTTAGGAGCACAATTTTTTTACTTTGCGATTTGCTCACTTTTTACATTTCATTAATTTTTCAAAAAAGTAGAACTTGAATTAAATTTTTTATATAACATTATCTTAAAGCTTATTAAATTCCTTTCTAAATAACTTATTATTATTTAAAATCTGCCCATAGACTTCTAGCATTTACCTAAAATGACTTTTGTCTCATAAGAATAAGAATCTTTCCCTTGTAGGTATCAATAGAATTAAAATTTTACATAATAGCATTTTTACATTTTACAAAAGAATTAAGTTTTCTCTATTTAAAGATTTTATTATAATAATAATAATAAAGGAAATTTCAAGGCTAATAAGAGTTAGCGCGGAAGGAGTTGCGTACAGTTATTGATTGATAAAATTATTTCTTTAAACTGATGTTTTCTTTATTTCATAATTTTGAATGTTTCAACTCACCTTGAAGTCATCCTTAGCAATATTACAATTAAAATTGATGAAAAACGTTAAGCGATCCATCCAGAATGAGTCATTCTCAGATTTCCAAAACTGTAGTAGATTCTGATATGCAAATATATACGTTAAAATTGAATCAAATTAGTCAAAAAAAAGTGGAGAAGCAACTCATCTCGAAAATTGAAAACTCAAAATATTATGAAGTTTTGGAAAATTGATTTCATTATATGATTTACATCGATAAAATGACACGTGTCTCGAACATTTATACAAAGACAATTTCTATTTGTATGATTCCGTGTGTCAAAGATGTCTAACGAATATTTTATTGTACAAAGGTCAATTTAAAAGAAAACATTGTTGTGTTACATATACGATGTAAATATTACATATACAATGTAAAATTGTATGCCAGAAAGGCATACATTAAGTCACAAATAAAAGTGTGAAATAACTGTGATAAAAATTTAAAAAACCGAAATATAATCTAATTAATAAATCTATTTAACATTGTAGCGTAGGCATGATGGAATTCTGTATCTGAACAAATAATTATTTAATCATTTCTGCATAGACATATGTACTTTTTTCGAAATTAATCGTTTATTTAAATTCCTCTCCTGATTTAAAATTTGAATGGTCTCCCAATCAAATTTCATTCATATTTCAATTCAATTTTGTGGTCAATAATTACTGATTGTGTTTTTGCGTTCCAATTAATATGATTACGATATTCTGCAATTTTAGTACATAATTTCCTATTTGTTTATCCGACGATTTTAGAATGCGTCATAATCTTTATAGCAGATCTTACCACGTTTTTATTTTTTAAAAGAACATCCTTCTAAATTCTATTGAACCTGTTGAGCTTATTGCTACTGATTTTTAATTTTCATTCTTAGAAATTGATGAATCTATCCGCTGTTATCGATGTATAAGACATAACAAAGCTTTTTTACTATTATTTTGATTAATATTTGACTTTTTGTTCAGAAATCTCACCTCCGCCTCGAAAATAAACATTTTAAATAAGGATACAGTTTCAAAAATGATCTCCACTGAATAATCATTATTTAACAGCATATTAATTATGAGCTCAATATTTTTTTGATGGAACTTTAACTCTGAATAGCACTGCTCTATCTGTTATTTATATTATTACTCCTTTTTTTTTTTAAGAAATAGAATGTGATGACAAAAAATTGAGGTATCCCGAAAAAGTTATGATACCAATCGAATTTTAATCGATTATTGTTATTCATGATCGTTACATCCAAGAAATTAATTTTATCCGCATCGTTTTCCAATATTAACTGGAGTCTCATGTGGGAGGAGTTGAAAATTGTTAATATTAAATCAATTAAATTGTCCGGCACTGCCATAACAATATCATCCACGTATCGGTAACTACACACACAAACATAAGCCAAAAGCGAGCACATGTACATGGGCTCGTGTTTTGTGTGTGTGTGTGTGTGTGTGTGTGTGTGTGTGTGTGTGTGTGTGTGTGTGTGTGTGTGTGTGTGTGTGTTACAGCGCTTCGCCACGATAAATGATTGAACTTAGCCGTGGAAAGTAACGTTTTGATGACGAATTTAAGCTGCAAGCCATTTTGTTATTATTTGCTTAATTGTGAAAATGTGACGTGTCTCGTACTTACAAAAATTCTAAAAATAGCAAAAATCGTTATCCTGGAATTTTATATGTAAAAGTATATATTTCATTCATTTCAACAACTGTTCAAATCGTATGTTTCCGGAAATAGGTTCACTTTACCTGCCTTTTATGATCATTTATTATTATTAAGAGAAAAAAAGAATAGCCCATTTCTACCCATTTTTACAGGTATTTTAAAACATCTCGTCATTTAGATTTATCCAAATTGTTTTTATTTACAAATGGCTTGTAACATAAATTAACGTGTCATTCTTCGCTTCTGATATCACAATTCCAACATGACCACCGCGACTTCATTGTAATAAATATTGTACTTTTTTTTGGAATGGACCCTCCTGTCAAATTAACAAACCATCTGTCTTTTATATTAAACAAAGAGAACTCGTAAGATTTATCCAAGAATTCACTAGCTTTAATTTTTTTACTTCCAATTTTGATTTTTAGACAGATCAACTGGAAATCATTGCGTAGAAAGTTTATTAAAACGTTGTTAGTCTCAACATTAGGTTTTGATTTATTCACATTTACAAAATAATGTACTAGTAGTTTAACGTTATATTTTCTTTTTTTATCTTTCTGAAAATCCATTCAAATTTTTTTGCTTTCTTCCCTTTTTTGTAAAAGGTGGATTTTTGTTTTGCAAAAAATTCATTGCAAATGCTTCTTGGGATGTGATTCATAATATTTCTTCTAATAATAAGTTAAAAAAATCTCTTTTTGAGAATGACAGATAGATCTATGTGCATCATTCAGTTCAATTTTTACAATTCTTAAAATAAACTGATTTTTAAAATGATTATAAAATGATTTATGTAAAGATCGAAAATGAGACAGATTGAGCTTATAATTTAACAGATAAACTGAGTGTTGAGAAACTATATTATACTTAATATAAGTTTTGACAAATTTTATGCGTGTCTTACTCTTAATAAAGAAATTTTATAGAGATACTTAATTAAAAAGTATTACTTAATGTTGTTTAATTTTATAAATTTCTTTTATGTTTATATATCATCATCTTTATCTCCAGGTACGAGTAGCTGGTCTTGTTACAACACTCGTTAATGTGACAGGAGGACATCAGGGTGCAACAAATGCGCTTGTAACTGAAGCCGGTGATATAAGGAACGATACGACACCAAAAGTAAGTCAATTACGTTAATGATTTTCAACAAAGCAGCATATTTCTATACAGGATGTTTATAAAAAAACATTCAGCATTTATAAGATACATACCACACTGAGTAAAAAAACCCTTCGCGAAAATTTATATGTTTGAATAAAGTATTGTAAATATTTTCACATTGTATACCTAATATAACTCTTTTTAATTTGACCTGAGTTATTTCTATATTTATAATTGCCATAACTGATGTATTATTTTTTATGTATTTTATGTAATTGCATGCGATATAAAGATTTATCTTATTGTCAGTATATTTTACAAATCGCGTTCCGAATGTTATCATTCAATTTTTATACACACTTTACAATGAAAGATTTCACCGGGAAAGGTTTTGGTAGTAAATTGGCATCAACAGACGATTGTGACTAGATGGGCATTATGGGAGATCACCTCACTGGATCTGTAATTCTCCTAAATAAGCTATCGGGTACTGCTTATTTCAATTTTTCTCTTTCCGCGTTTCTCTTTCTCGCATGCATCACGTAAGAATCAGCTAGTCGGTCACGATACTACTGACATATTATATAAAATTGTTTATATATTTCAGAAACAGTTTAATTTTTGACTTATATTTACATAATTTACTAACAATAAAATTTTTTTCAGTACAGTGTGTACCACTCGCCATATAAAGCGTTCATGCTAAATGCCCTGTATATGCTAATATGTACGGACTAAACGCCCTGTATGCTAATAAATCTTTACAAAATCTTTTCATTTTAATTGGCAATTTAAATAACAGTTTTAATTTTTTCCAAAAACCGCATTTTAAATATCACTAACAATATTTGTATTTTGACAATATCAATTCTTCTTATGTGTATATTTTTATACGGAATGAGTAAAAAGTCTCGGATCGGTGAAACATCTTGAAAACTAAGCATTTCTGAAAGAAATGTTTAGTTTTCAAGATGATCCTACAAAAACTGTAGGGTTTAAATGATCTATTCACTAATCTAGTCAGTCTGATCTTGAATCAGTCTGATCACAAGGTATCCGCGACTGATGCTAATTTTGAATGTTATTCAAGGTCCTAGATAACATTTGTTAAAATCAAGATCATTGGAAATTATTTCTCTTATTTTAATTTTTATATAAAAATGAATTTTTATATTCAGTGAAAAAATTTAGACATAATCAATACCTTGCGTACGGATACTTTGCGTAATGCTAATGTCGGAAAATTATAACTTTCAAGTTTTATAATTCGAAAAGTACTTTATGAAAAATAACTTTATTGTAATATTTTGAAAAGCTCTTGATATCAATTAGATTCTGGAATCAAAAATAGGGTGTGCCATTTAAAAAAATCGATGTGACTTTGACCTGATCTTGGCAACGCCCAAGATCAGACTGATCAGATCAGTGAATAGATCATTTAAAATACCCTACCATATTTGTAAAAAACATTTCTTGCGGAAATGCTTAGTTGTCATTTCATCGGTCCGGAATTTTTTACTCATCCTGTATACCAATAAATGTAACGTATGTATATATTAGGTATAGTAAAAAGAAATCCATTATTTTTCCATTCAATTTCATGCAAAAATAATGGATTTCTTTTTACTATACCTAATATATAAATCAAGATAAAGGAGAAAACGAACCGTAGCATGTGAATTAAAGGATTTTAAATTATTTAGAAATAACGTTTTAGAGAACGGGTGCCATCGAGGAGCACCGGAAAATGAGGAATTACCTCAGGCGAATAGAACACGAGGGTGTACAAAGAGTGAAAATGTTCCTGGTCATAACAGCAGCATACGTCTTGTTCTGGGGACCATTGTTTTTCGTTACTCTGGTGCATCATCCTGCCATAGGAAATCCTATTGGTTATGAGGTAATTAGAACGTATAGAACGCTGCGATGATATAATGGGAAGTTTGTATCCGCGTTCGTGTTACTTCCGCGAAATTTAGACATTATCGATATTTATGTTTCTACAAATATCTCCTAGTCATTACTTATCTTGCTTGTAATGGCGCATTTGTGCGTTGCACTTGCGAATGGTGCGAATATTAATACCTCATACATACAAATACTTGCTACACTTTAGCGGATCGAACTTCGTCCTTGTAAAAGCAGCAATGATATGTCACGTTGTTTATTCATTCCGCTAATGCACTCTCTTATTCATTTCAAAAGATACATTCGCCAGAAATAATCGACGGCATACTAACAGCTTATATAAGCATTATTAATATAAATGAATACAGCTGAGCTGACGTCACACAAATAGATTTTATGATCGAAATCAATTACAAATGTTAAAGTTAATTATCTGATCGCAACGAAATGAATAAATGAATCTCTCCTTTCTTTTTTCTTTATTTCTAATAATTACAATTCGATGTTATATATGATTCTTTAAATAATTATGATATCGCAATGTTTAAAATACGTGTGATGCACAACAAAACTTGCCAAGCGATTTTAGTTCTACTTCTGATAACGATACATTTGTTTCAATAGGAATAAATGCGAAAACTTGGCGAGAAAACATGAAAACGTAACGTTATTCGACCGTGCCAATATAGAGTTGTACGTGAATCACTCGAGCAAATCGAGCGAATTCGTAGCTATCGAGTAGTGTTCTTCCAAAGAATCTTTTTACGAGAATATAAATTTTTAAGAAAGGAAAGTCCACCGAAAAACATGTTGAGTGACTTGAAGACATCGCGTAGCAGTTTTGCGATATAACGTCGTAACAGATGTACAAAATAGCCGCATTTTATCTTCTCAATGCGCAATAAACTTCCGGTATTTTCCGGACAATATGAAGATCACGATATAGTGAAAAGTATAATTTAAGACATAATTTAAGAAAAGATAAATTTTCTCGTTTCTGTCTAAATATGTAAACTCTTGAAATGTAGAAATATTATATGTTAATGTTTCTAATACGTAAAGATCTTTTTAAAAAACAAAAAATATATATTTACAGAGTGATCCAAAACTGACAATAAATATTTTATAAACAGATTCTTTGTAACATTTGAAGAAAAATCTAATACAAAAAATCTATGATGAAGTTTTTAAAAGAAAAGAATTTAAAAATTACGAATGACGAGGCAAGAATTTCGCGCACTCAAGTATGGCAAAATGATTAAGATGAAGGTGTTTCTTCAAACGTTATGCCTTTCACAATAATAAACTTCAACTTTTTCACACACTATCTTGCTATCTACACTCTGAGAGTGCGCGAAATTCTAACTAGCCCTATCATTCGTTATTTTTAAATTCTTTCCACTTACTTGAAACTTCTAGCCGACGTTTTCATATTAGACTTTTCTTCTTGAAACCTAACAAAGAATCTGTCTTTAAAGAGTTTTTATCAATTTTGGAACACCCTATATATATCATTTTATATATTATATATTAAATAGATTATAGACGTCATACAATAAACTTAGGCATCTGTCAACATAACCCCATAGAAACATTAGTGTTTGCATCATAAAGTTATTCTCGATTGAAAATGTCAGAGCCAAATTCTCGTCATTTGCGGGAGGTTTTAATTTTTTGCTTCAATATGAAGAAATCTGTGGCTGAGGCTCATCGAATGCTCTCAAATACTTAGGTGAGGCCGCTATTAGTAAAAGAACATGTCGTGAATGGTTTCAACGCTTCAAGAACGGTGATTTTGACGTTGAAGACCGGCATAGCGGTGGAAGAGAGAAAGTTTTCGAAGATGCAGAATTGGAGGCATTACTTGAGCAAGACTCGTGTCAAAATCAAGAAGAATTGGCACGATCATTGTGACTCAACAAGCCATTTCAAAATGCCTCAAAGCCATGGGAATGATTCAGAAGCAAGGAAATTGGATGCCGTACGAATTGAAGCCGAGAGATGTTGAACGGCGTTTGTTTGCTTGTGAACAGCTGCTTGAAAGGCAAAGACGGAAGGGATTTCTGCATCGCATTGTGACTGGGGACGAAAAATGAGTTCATTACGATAATCCCAAGCGCAGAAAATCATGGGGAGTTCCCGGCCATGCTTCCACGTCGACGGCCAAACCGAATATTCACGGCTCCAAGGTCATGCTCTGTATTTGGTGGGACCAGCTCGGCATAGTGTATTATGAACTGTTAAAACCGACTGAAACAATCACAGGCGATCGGTATCGAACGCAATTGATGCGTTTGAGCCGAGCATTGAAAGACAAACGGCCGCAATACAACGAGAGACACGATAAAGTGATTTTGCAGCATGACAATGCTCGACTCCATGTTGCGAAAGTGGTCAAGACATACTTGGAAACGTTGAAATGGGAAGTCCTACCCCACCCGCCGTATTCTCCAGACGTTGCTCCCTCTGATTATCACTTGTTTCGATCAATGGCACACGGCCTGGCTGACCAGCACTTCCGGTCTTATGAAAAAGTAAAAAATTGGATCGATTCGTGGATAGCCTCAAAAGATGACCAATTTTTTCGATGCGAGATTCATACGCTACCCGAAAGATGGGAGAAAGTAGTGGCCAGCGATGGACAATACTTTGAATCATAAATGTATAATCAGTTTTTTACAATAAAGCCTCGAATTTCGAAAAAAAATCGGCGGAAGCAAAGTTGTATATATATATTAGGGTAGTCCATTTTTACTCTTGAAGAAAAAATTTTTTTTTAATTCTTCCCGCGGCACTCCTCAAAATGGTTTTAATTCACAAAAAATAAAAATTCTTGTCAAATTTCAGTTCGATTAGACAACGGAAACCCGTGCTGACAGTTCGTTAAACATTTGAGTTCCCTTATATTACATTCTCAACATTGATTTTTAAGTATATTTTTTTACAAAAATCTAGAAGAATTTTCTTTTTTTTTTTTAACATGTGTTTTGTTTTTCTGCATCGTTTGAGATCTTATACATTTCACTTAAACAATTAAACAATTAGGAGTATTGTTAATGATTAAAAAATAAAAATAAATAATTAGTATAACTTTGGTATACGCCGACGTCTTTTTTTTTTGACATTTGATTATTTTTCTTAGAGCATCACTTAAAATTGTTACAGTGTGTGTGTGTGTGTGTGTGTGTGTGTGTGTGTGTGTGTGTGTGTGTGTGTGTGTGTGTGTGTGTGTGT